AAAGATTTTACCAAACTTTAGAATGATAAATTAAATTCAGTAAAGTTGTAGCATACATAGCTACTATACAAAAACACCAGTAGTCTCGATATATAGAAAAATAAGTAATAAAGAAATCAGTGGTCAATACCATTTACAATAGCTACAAAATATAAAAAAATACCTAGACAACAAATGTACAAGGAGGTGAAAGACCTCTACAGGAGAACTACAAAACACTGATAAAAGAAATTGAGCAGGGATACAAATAAATGTAAAGACAGGGCCTTGCTCATAGATAAAAATAATAATATTGTTAAAATGACAATACTACCTAAAGCAAGCTACAGATTCAATGCAATCCTTATGAAAATACTAATGACATTTCCACATAAATAAAAATAAAATTTGAAATTTGTACAAGAACTAACAATAGACACTAATAGCCCAGAAATCCTGAGCAGAAAAAATATAGCTGAAGGATATCACACTACCAGACTCCAAAATATACTAAAAAGCTGTTGTATCTAAAACAGCATGGTACTTATTGTTAAAACAGATAAATAGACCAATAGAAACAGAAAAAGAGAATTCCAGAAATTAATTACCACATATCTATAGCCAACTGCTTTTTGACGAAGGTCCAAAGAATACTCATTGGGGAAATCACAGTTTTTTTTTGTTTTTTTTTTTTTAGAAAATTGACACTGGAAAATGGAATATTCCTATGCAAGACAATAAACTAGACCCCCACTTTTTACCCTATACAAAAAATCATCAAAAGTAGATCCAAGGCCTAAATGTAATACCTGAAACAATAAATCTGCCACAAGAAAAACACAGAGGAAAGATGCTCAGGATATAGATCTGGGAAAAGATTCTATAAATGCCACCTCAGTTATTTCCTCTTGTATTTTCCTTTTCTCATCATTTTAAATACTAATTTACTCACAACATTTACTTTATCCTTAACTTCTCTTTGCCTACATTTACTCAGTGATTCATTAAGTGGAAGTGAGAAGAGGACATCTAACTCACCTCAAAAAACAGAGAAGTAATTCTCTTAACCTTTTAGCTACAGAGTGTAGAGAAGGCCAAAATACTGTTGCACATTCAAACATTGATATTACTAAACTGTTAAAATGGCAGATTTAATACTCATAAAAAATATATTTGTTAATATTTTCTAAAAGTTGCCAAAAAAAAGGATAATACTTATTTTATTTTTAAAAGTGATGGATGGTAATCTTGATATAATGCCAGGAATCTGGGTCTGATGACTGATATATGAACAATTATGTTTAACTTTTTTTTTTTGAAGGTGGAGTTTCGCTATTGTTACCCAGACTGGAGTGCAATGGCACGATCTCGGCTAACGCAACCTAGCCCTTCTGGGTTCGAGCAATTCTCTGCCTCACCTCCTGAGTAGCTGGGACTACAGGTTGCACAGCAGCATGCCCAGTAATTTTTGTATTTTAGTAGAGACGGTGTTTCAACTCATTGACCAGGATGGTCTCGATCTCTTGACCTCGTGATCCACCTGCATCAGCCTCCCAAAGTGCTGAAATGGTAGGACATGAGCCACCGCGCCCAGCTTGTTTAACTTTAAAATGGTCTCCACATTATGTTCTGTTTTTATTTTTGCTACTTGCTTTTGAACTGTTTTTGAAATTCACAGATTTTTTTCTCTATGATATAAAGAGACTCAATCTAATATTATTACTTGGATGCTTTTTGAAAATAAAGCCATACGCCTCTTTGAGTGGCCGACCAAACCAATGACATGCACATAATCAGAAAACCCAATGTATGTATGTGTGGGTGTCTGTGTGTGTTGTTTATGTGTGGTGTGATATAATATACATGTATAGTCAGTTGTATAATTTCACAGGTAAGAATGGTATTAACCATGAAATAAATTTTTAATAGGATTATACTCTATTAAACACTTATCTGTAACATTTCTCATCTTTGTGATGTCAAAACTAAGATCCAGGGAGGTTAACAAACTCCTGTGAGAATTATTCTGACAGTGGAATTGATATGTTCCAGCACCCATGCACTGACTGCTTTAATTAGTAGCTTCTGAATTTTTGTCTGCTGCAAACAAAGAATTTGTAAATGAAGATAAGATTTTAAAAGTTTCTATCTGTCACTGTGGAAACCTAGGTGGAGTATACTAATCAGTAGTTCTATTGTATATCCCTCGGTAATTGAACTCTATTAAAAAATAGCTAAGTTCAGTTCTGTTCCGTTTTGTGTGACTGTGTGGTACATATAAACAACGTGCTAGAGATAAACATTAAGGAATGATCCTATTTTTACTGGTGAAATGTTTTGATGCATTGCCTATCTTTCTGAAATTTAATATGTTTTAGATTTAGAAAGATATGTAAGCACTTTAAAAACTTAATTACAGCTATAATAAAATAAAAATGCCTTGAGAAAACTATGCTAAGTCTTTACAATGTCCATTAGCCTTCAACACTTGGGTTTACTGGAATGTTTTGAGACTTCCTTTCAAATTGTTCTTAAGTGGAAAGTATCTTGAAATGATTCCATATCTAAATTCATAATTAATTAAATTCATACTAAGATTTAGTACATGTAATTTATTTGGATAGCCATCTGCTGTGTTTGCTAAACCAGCACGGATCTGTAATATACTTTCCTGAAAGTAATGTACAGCATTTACAAAAATCTGCTCCTCGGAGGGCTGGCCTAAGTTCAGGGTAGTGTTTGCATTTCAATGACCACATTGGTGGATTTAATTCCAGTCTGAAACCAATCTAGGAATTTGAATATGATACACTATTCATTTATTTATTTGTTTGTTTATTTTTCTTGCTTCATATTTATTGGGCCTGAGTCCACAAATCAATTTTCACTTGGGAATGCATCCTATTCCTTTTCTCTGTCCATGTTGTATGTTTGCAGAGGGTGGCTACTTGTTACTGTCATTCAGTTTTAGATATATCAAAATTGAGATGTCTCTTTGCTATCTATGTGGCACTTTCAGATACACATTTGATCAAATAACTATGAGGTTATGGGGGAGGTATGTGGTGAAAAGATAGATTGATAAATTTGGTAGATGGTATTTAAGGCGTGGGATTATCGGAAGAATACATTTAGAGAAACTAAGGAATGTGCCTTTAAGCATTAATATTAAAGATACTATTTGAGGTAGGAACACCCATAGGAGAATAAGGTGTGTCCAACACATAGGAAGAAACTGAATGACTGAATTCCTAGAAGCCAAGTAAAGAATGAGAACACATAGGAGAATGAGAAGGTGTGTCCAATGCATAGGAGGAAAATGAAGTGACTGACTTCCTAAGAAGCCAAGTAAAGAATGTGAACACATAGGAGAATGAGAAGGTGTGTCCAATGCATAGGAAGAAAATTAATGACTGAATTCCTAGAAGCAAAACCAACCTTTGGGTTTTGCAACATGAATAATTTTAGTCATATTCAAAAGACTAGTTTTGTGGTAGGAAGACAAATCTCTAGTTGGAATGGACTTAAGAGAATGGGAGAAAATTAGAGAAAATGAGTATATATATGTCTCTTTTAGGGAGATTGCTGTACGAGTAAGAGCAATGGGCTAGGATCAAAGGCTGAGGTAGGAATTGAGAAAGGGTTTCTTTTATATGAGGAATGCATATCATGTGATTGAATGAGTATATGGGAAAATTGGAGGTGCAGTATTGGGGCGGGTCAGGGAGGATTTTTGAGTGCATTTTTCTTGATTAGGCAAATAAGAATAAAACCTGGTATAGAAGGGGAGTGGTTGCATTAGGCAGGATCACATATTGTCCCTTCATAGAAAAAGAAGGTAAATTGAGGTATACTTTAACAAATGCAAGGGTGTGTATGAATGCATACATGGAAAGTTTTAAAAACCTTCTGTGATTCAATTTTTTCTTTTAAAATTTGAAATAAGTCCCTGACAGGCTGCTGCCTTTTTCAGAGATGCCCTGCCCAGCAAGAAGGGAGTCTAGTCACAGTCTGCCTGCAGAGGCTTTGCTGAGCTGCCTTGGGTTCCACCCAGTTGCTGTGTAAACTTCCTGGTGACTTTGTTTACACAGACAAGTTTAGAACCATCTACCCAAGCCTCAGTAATGGTGGACGCCCCCTCCCCCCACTGAGCTCCAACATCCCAGATCGAGCTCAGACTGCTGTGCTAGTTGCAAGAATTTCAAGCCAGTGGATCTTAGCTTGCTGGTTTTTGTGGAAGTGGGACCTGCCAAGCCAGATCACTTGGCTCCCTTGCTTCAGTCCCCTTTTTTTGGGGGGAGATGAGCAGTTCAGCCCCAGTTTTGTGCTGGAAACCTGGGGCGCTGGTGTTGTAGACACCAGAGAGAATCTCCTGGTCTGTGGATTGTGAAGACCATAGGAAAGCACAGTATCTAAA